GTTGCAGTCTGCGAGCCCCACCCTAGAGATATTGGTTCACTTATTGTTGGTTGGGGCCTGACCATCTGGAATTCCCAAAGGCATTGCCCCAGGTCATTTCGTCCTGAATACAACCCAGACAATACAGCGTCTGTTTTCCTATAGCATCACCACAAGCTATAGGAAAATTGAGTTGTATCTCCGTCAGGTGATGGAGAACAAGGGAAGTGGAAATAGACACATGTATGATCAAAGAAATAAACGTACTATTTTCAATCAGGCTCTCACAGCACATTCAGAGGGGCCTTATTGGAATCGAAGTCTCCTTTCGAATTATGCCCAGGGTACTCGAAGCAGAGTTTAGTGAACTGCTTTCTGTGTACTCAAGGCATAAATTAACAAACTCTAAAAAGCATACTGTGTCCGGGGAAATGAACTTCATCTAGCCTCACTAAGGAATGTTGAAGGAATGAGGAATGCCTCATCACATCTAAACACATGTGTTAGGTGCACTGTCAGGGGTAACCAGAGGAGGGACAACTGATAAAGCATGAAGAGCAAGGTCTAGAGCGAGCCTGACAGAGAATTATGAAAAGCAAGAGGTCACGGTGCCAACTGAATAGCTGCTGCCTGTTTACTACAAATAGGACGATGTACAGTAACAGGAGCTTTGGTGCCACATAGACAGAGCCGGAAACCATGGCGGCTTTGTAGCCAACTTGCTCGCACCTACAAGTGTTCAGTGGGCTCACTTTGCTCAATAAAAATCATCAAACTGTCTATGATTAGCAACACCTTTTGGGTTTCATTTTCCCCAGCACACTCATGAGGCCAAGGCACACGGGAGTGCGTGTGTGTTTGGGGGGGGGGGGGGGGGTTTCACTGTGTGCCATAGTGAATTCTGCTTTCAATGCTCAGCAAGGGGTGAGTGTTGTAATGTTCTTGATATCGTTTCCTCTTCCCTGAAAAGAAGGGGAAACCCCTTTTCCTAACACCCATGCAAAGCCCAACCTAGAGTACAGCTGAATTCCACCTAGCATCTCCAGTCACCCTCCCCCCATCAAAAGAGGACAGGTGTCTTATTAACACCTCGCCCTGGGTATGGAAAAAC